GAGTTGGTTCCGAGGGGCAAATAGACACATTTTCAAATTCAAACAAGCCCTTAAGTAAGAAAAACCATATTTTACTAATTTTTGTGTGCTATAGTCCATGAATTTTTGGTTATTTGGGATTCCACCTTATTTTTGGCTGAAATTTTCCATGGAAGTCCGTTAAGAACTTATTAATGGCGTGAGTTGGTCCCGAGCGGTAAACGAGCGCATTTTCATGTTCAAACGAGCCTCAAAGCAGGAAAATTCAGATTTTACCAATTTTCATGTGCTAGTCTATGAATTTTTGGTGATTTAGGATTCCATCTTGTTTTTGGCCGAAATTTTCCATAGATGTCCGTTAAGACCTTATTAATGGTGTAAGTTGATCCCGAGGGAAAAATTGACTCATTTTCAAGCTCAAACAATCCCAAAGCAGGAAAAACCAGATATTACTCATTTTTGTGTGCTATAGTCCATGGTTTTTGGTGATTTAGGATTTTGGCTTATTTTTTACCAAAATTTTTCATGGTAGTCCGTTAAGACTTTATTAATGGCGTGAGTTGGTCCCGAGGCGAAAACGGACACATTTTCAATTTCAAACGAGCCCAAAGCAGGAAAAACTAGATTTTACTGATTTTAGTGTGCTATAGTCCATGAATTTTTGGTGATTTGAGATTCCGGCTTGTTTTTGGCTAAAATATTTTATGGACGTCCGTTAAGACCGTATTAATGGCGTGAGTTGGTCCCGAGGGGCAAACATGCGCATTTTCAAGTTCAAAAGATCCCCAAAACAGGAAAAACCAGATTTTACCGATTTTTGTGTGCTATAGTCCATGAATTTTTGGTGATTCTGGATTCCTGCTTGTTTTTTGCCGAAATTTTTCATGAAAGTCTGTTATGACCTTATTAATAGTGTGAGTTGGTCCAGTGCAATGTTTAGGGGAGCGCTTGTTTCATTGAAGTGAAACACAATTTAAAAGAAAAAAAACCAAAATAAATAGACAAAATATATAAGCAAAAATTCATATTAAAAAGGGAAAAGGTACAAGTACCCCCTAGACTATGACCGAAATCTCAGAGACACACCTTAACTAAACTAAGGTCCTATTACCCTTGAACTTATTTTTTTTGTAATTTTGTGCACCTTTTTGGCTTACGTGACATCCAAATATCTCCCATGCGCCTCAATTGCGTGGAGTCACGGAGTGTGCCATGTAAGACAAAAGATATACAAAATTACAAAAAAGAAGAAGTTATGGGGGGTAATAGGACTTTAGTTTAGTTAAGGTATGTCTCTGGGATTTCGGTCATAGTCTAGGGGGGTACTTATGCCTTATCCTAATTAAAAAACTAGAAAAAAGTTTCCCTTTAGTTGTCTTATCACAAAACAGACATACAATTGATGTCCTATTGGACTTATTTTTAATCGCGGATAAGATTTAAGAAAACTAATCAACATTATATTTTTATGGAAAAAATTCAACAACATTTTAGTCATTGTTAAGAAACAAAACAATTTAGGCGATGTATGTTATAATCATTGTGAGGAAAAAAAATTCAGCAATATATAATTTAAATAATCAAAGCTAAACAGGGCAAAGGAAAACAGAATAACGAACAAAGTAGAAAAAAGAAGAAAAATCCTAGGCTAGTTGCAGTAGTAAGAAGAACTAGGTAACTCATGCCTCTTCTTATTCTTTAAAATTGACCAGAAAAAATAAAAGTGTTGCTTTTCTCGCTTCACCGCTTCTGGTCGTATCACGCTTCAAGCCCAGAAGCGATCACTTCTTTTCACATGCCTCGCTTCAGCCAGCTGAAGCGTTGAACCCTCGCTTCGCTTCGCTTCACCACTTAAAGCGATAAAGCGCTCGCTTTCCTGAACACTGGTCCAGTGTGCTATAGTTTACTTTTTTCTATTATTTTAAGATTTGTTATTGGATATTCAATTTCCATCATAACCTCTAATAAAAAAAAACATCACAAGAATATCATTTGTAAATGTTTTTTTAAATAAATAATTTTCAAATCTATCTATTCTGTAATATGGACATAGTTTGACAATATAGTTTGACTTCAATAAGCCACAACTATGGAAATAAATTATTTTTTAATATTAATATACAAAAAGGATGGTGGGTCAAGCAATTTCCCAATCAATATGATCAAAATTATAATTTTTATAAAAATTAGGATAACTTATTTCAGATTTTAGCTTTACATAATCTTGTTCCTTTTATTATTAGTTTTGACTTACTATACAGTGGAGTCTACTTCATCCTCATTAGTGTTTCTATAATGATTTCCAGAAATTTCTTCTTTTTACTACTAATAATTTCGTATTGGACTCAATTAATTTGAATTCGCATTTAATAGAATTTATTTTAAAAAAATTATTAAATATTTCTCAAAGAAATAGTGAATAATAGTAATTGATATTTATTGTGAATAATAGTAACAGTTAATAACAATAGTGTTCGATAATAGTAATTAACAATATAAATAAATTATTATCAGTTATGATTAGTGATTATTGTAATAATGATTGTAAATAATTTTGTTGTGATAATGATTATAAATTACATTAGTGGTGTAAATAAATAAATGCAGTAATTGATGATAATCCTGAGGATGATAATATTTAATAATATTGAAAAATAATTATTAAGGTGTAGTTGATGATGAATGATAAGGGCGATACGATAATAGTTAGCGGTGAAAATAGATGAGGTAGTGTTAGATGTCATCTTAATCATTCAAATTTATTCAGATCTACTAAGTAATCGTGAAATAAAAATAGAATGTGCTTAATAATTGTTTTGTTTTACTATTGCAAATTGCAATATTTCTTTTTTCGTGTTGTCTCATTCATTACTTCATCAAATTCGTTATCATGTATGTTGTTCAATGTACTCTATTTTTTTATTTATTAATTAAAGTACTTGACCTACTTTTCTCAATAATAAAAAATTAAAGTGTGTAAATATTGCTTAAGAAAGAGATGATCTTGTGGTACAATCCTACCAAATCATGTGGTCTGGTTTGTATATATTTAAAAATAAAATTCTAGATAAAGGGATCGATTTAAAATTTAAATTTAATAGAAATTAATTTTAAATTTTTTAATATTGGATGCCTTGAATTTCTAAAATTATTATTATGATAAGAATAAAAGAAATTAACTATAAATTTCATTGTTGTTCTGTTGCAAAATCATTCATAGCTAATAATTTTTTCATATATATAATATGTCACTAAATAAAATTAGTGATCGATACAAATTTTATAATGACAACTCAATATAGCGTATAAATAAAATTAGTTCGTCAGAAAATTGATTTGAATACTTTTTACATATATATTTAAATTCTATATTAAATTCTCGTTATAAAGCTTGCCTCCGCCACTGAGAATATATATATTTTTTAAAAAAGTATTTTTCCTTTTTCTTGTGGTCCTATCGTCCTAGTGTTCTAAACACGGATTATTGGCCCTTAAGAGTGGGTTTTTTTTAAAGCTTTAGGTGAAACTTAGTGTGGAATATTAGTGCCTAATTAACCTTTAATCTATGAAAAAGAATTTCAATAAAAAATTACAATATATTATAAAGGACTTTCCTAATGGTTAGCAAGTGCTCTACTGTCATAGTCCCATCTTTTAGGGAAAAAAATAAAAGTAATATAGACAAACAGTACATACTCTATCCAGACTAAAATTTCAATCGCCGATTGCGGTGAAATGATAAGAATTTTCTTATTCATAATTAGAAAGTTTAGATTTAATTTTTTGGAATAGAAATTAAATTTCGTAAGAAGTGTTAAAACTTTACACATAAATCTTTTATCATATAAATTCATATTAATCAAATCAGTCTAACTTTTAGACGAATTATTTTTAAAAAAATAACAAAACTTAATCACCATCTAAACAAAGTTGTCTTATCAAAGAAGAGAGCCACGATAAGCTCAAGTCATTCGAAATTAATGAAATTCGTATCCTAATAAGTCATGGTATCCTAGTTTTAGACTGACTTTTTTTTTATGGTTAAATGTGTGAGTCTAGTCAAATTGAATGTAATATTATATATTATTAAATAAAAATGACATTTTTTAACGATCTTTATCTAAGTTTTGAACTTATACATATATATTGTGAATTTCGATTTATCTAAAAGAATGAAATTTGAAATACTAGGATCAATTGTATTTTCTCAACAATCTACACCTTGTACAATTATGTACTTAATAAATATTTTACTTTCTATTTCTCATTTACCAAAATCTCCCCCACACACAAAACAAAAAATGAATTAATATTAAATGTTTGAGTGATCCTACATTGATCTTTTCTTACAAAACAAATTATAAGTAGGCAGTTTTGTCGGCAAGTTGGCTTATCAATAAGACCCTACTAGCAAAATCAAGAATAGTGTAGAAAAAGAAAGAACTTTTAAAGTTTTATGCACGGACATTATAAATAATTTATATATAATTAATATAATTTAATTTACTATGATATATTATTATTTTCTACTTTTTAAGTATCTTATTAGAATTAATATACAAATTTTATTTTTTTTCGGAAGTGTAATCGTAATTTTAATTTTATCAATTCTGAATTTAAAAATAACAATTTGAAATAGTAAATATTTTCTTCTAAATTTGATATTCATTCATAATAAATAATTATTTTTTAAATCGTATCTAACCTTCTAACTCTGTTTATATATACACCATTAATAATTTAAAAAATCACAAAGTAATTTTTTTAATTTTTTTAAAAAAATTATTATATTTTGCCAAACTCATATTTTAACTTCTAGATCCACCCTATATACACTTGCAACAAAGAAAAACTCACAAAGTAAAAGTCCTCAAAAGCAAAGCACCCATATAAACTTTACATGATAACTACAAGCACTAGCAATTCCACCACCAATAAAAGAAACTATTCTATCAACTTGTCCCAATATTTCTAAAACAACTCTTAAAAAAAAAAACTCCATTAATAACCTAACCAAAAAAAAAAAAACACTTCACCCCTTTATATATATAATCATGTGGAGGTTATTAGTATCAATAAGGCAAAATTTACAAAATATGGGAAAAAGTCCAAGAGTAGCTGATGAAAATATGACAAATATTTGTAGAGGTGAAAATAATAGATCAACAAGGCAACATAATTGGACCGGGTTTTCGATCATTTGTGGCGTTTTTCGTGCTCCATTAGCCTTATTTTCATGCTTAAATCATCCTCGACTCAATGGAACGGATGGAGTTTGGGTTTCTGGTGAATTTTCACAAATTTCTGAAATGAATCATCTTATGGTTAGTGATAGTATGCGTTATGCAATATTGATGTGAAGAAAAAAAAAAGATTATGGTAAGAAATGAAATGAAATTTTTAGTTATGATGAGACTTTTTTTTTTTTTGGTTTGTGTTTTTGGGTATTTTTTTTTTCATATATGTTGATGTACGAGAAGTTTTGGATTTGTTATTTTTCCTGAGGAAATCTAGGGTTTGTATATGTGTTACTTCCTCGATTTTATTTTATACGATAATGTTTGATTTGATAGAGAATTTTAGAGAGAATTTTCTTGGAATTTGCGGGCTTAAATATGACATGGTATTTTTGTGATTATATATAAAAAAAAATACGTATATATCCAATTGAGTTTGGACATAATCCATCGAAAATATACTTGTTGAAAATCTCAAAACGAAATTGACCGTGGGAAATTCATAATAAGGGTTATTGATGTTTTAGTATGTTATTAATTTAAAATTTATGATCTTAAATATATTATATTTTTATAATTATATATACTAAAAACATGTAACTTTTGATTGTGTTTTAATTTAATTCACCGGACATATGCTTGTCAGAAGTAGCTAGGTAGAACTATTTTGTTTGTTCTTTTGTAAATTATTTTGAACTGAAGTTTGTAAGTGAAAAATAATATGGATAATAGAGTGAATAATGGTCATGAAGTTGAAAATTTTAATTTTAATTTTTTATTCTGGTTAATGCTTATGTATAGAGAAAATGGCAAAAATGGTTTTGAGCGTAGGCTTAAATAGTTTCTTACATAAGCATTGGATAATTTAAATAGTTAACACTTTTAATGTCGTCAAATACTTTTATAGAATTTTATCCGTTAAATTTACTGAAAACTATGAAAAGAAAAAAAAGAAATTAACGAAAACTCACTTTTAGAGTACATTTTTGGTAGTTTTTGTAATTTTTTAATATATATTTCAAGAGTCTTATGCAATTTGCCGAGAGGTAATTTATAGAATTTTTATATATTTTTAGTGTCTAATACATTTTTTTTCTGTTGAATATTTTAGGATTTGATAGGATTGTTTTGGTGTTTACGACTAAATTTGTTTCCTATTTTTATTGTCAAATCTAATGAATATAAATTATTAAATATTTGACGGAGACTAAAAATGTTAATTTTTATCAAATTTAAAAGATCAAAATTGTTGATTGTGTACTTAAGAAACTATTTAGAACCTAATCTCGAACATAAAGGGACCATTTTTGACATTTTCTTCTTATGTGTACCTAATTATTCCTTTGTTAAAAGTGCTTCTTCATATACATTTATTTTCCTTTTTAACTTATTTTCTTTTGATGTTTGTGTACCTGATCTTGTCCTTAGCTTATATAATACAGATCTTAGATTAAGAATATTTTATCTAAACGGCTAGCTTAATTAATTAGTTTGATGTGACATACCTATCAATTCTCTAAGTGCTTTATATAATAAAATAATAATAAAAAATATAAAGCTCATGAATTAAATTTTCAAGTTGGGCCAAATATATATGACATAACTTATTGATGAAGGAGGCTCGGATAAATTTCTTTTCGATATCCCTAGTTCCACCAATGGTAACGTGTTCAATTGTACCATTACTATAAAATCTATGTGAAAATCATTAAAGAAATTTCAAATATTAATTATAAATCGATGATTATAAAAATGTAATAAGTTCAACGATTTAAATATTCAACTCATAAAAAATATAATGGCAGGTGTTTTCTAATGCATAGGTGCTTTCTGGATTCATTTAAATTAAAAATATATATGCAACTTTAGTTTCATTTAATTTACTCTAAAAAAATAAAGTAGATTGAACTAATGATAAATTCCAATTATATGGAACTTGAGAATCTTAATTACTTTTTGTCATTTCATTTTCTAATGTCTTTAGAAAAACAAAAAGAATACTCATTTCATTTGAAAACAAGGGTAAAACATTTACTCCATAAATCCAGAATAAACCTTAACATTGAAATGTTTTTGGTTTTTTTATCGGGTGCTTGATATTTGCATTGAGACTCGATTACGTTTGGATTCACGTATTTCAAGATCCATTTGTGAGGGTACCACTTCCAATAAAAAAAAATTCCATTCTCAAGAATTCAAACCTAATATATTGATTAAGAATGGAGGAATCTCAACTATTCCATCACAACAAATATCGGTCTTTAACATTGAGATAAGTACATAGGCCATGCAAATAACAATATCATAATACCTTGTGATCCCTTTGAATTTAGCATCGTTAATTTAATATATAATTGAACTATTTTGTCCTAACTATCCTCTTGAATGTTGATATGACAAAGAGCGTGATTACACTCTTTAGACCTGTGAGAATAAAAAATAATAAAAATATGCCAATGTTAATTCGACAAAAAATAATAAATGAAAGGAGAACATATACTTGAGGTATATTTAATTTACTTTTTAAAGTTTGGAAAACCAAACAAATTGTTACAAGTAATTGTTTGATAGATAGATATTATTCTTTGTATTAATAATAATTATTCTTTGTATAATGACTGAGTTGACCTTACATGTGATTCTTAGAATTTTTTTAGAATATGAGTTGATAAAGCACCCAATTAATTCCTTGGCTCTTAGAGAGAACAATCATTGCTAATATTATGTGGTCCTAGAAAGAATTCCTTTTTTTCACTCAAAATGCTACGCTTTTATTTTCCACTATTGCATACTTTTATGAAGGAAAAAAAAGTGTTACTATCACACATGGTAATGGAAAATCATTTCTATTTATTGGTAATACTAAAAAGCATGGAGGTCTAGGAATCAATACCCTTATTTAGTCTTATATATATTCATGGTTTTTCCTCGAAACAACTTTTATTAAAATACAGTGTTTTGGAATTGTTTGATAGGATATATAGAATAATACTGAATATGATATATTAATAATGTTGGAAATAGTAATGCTAGCACTATTTTTTATCGACTATTTTGTTTGTTATATAATATCAATGAATATGATGTATTAGAATAAAAATATTATTGAATAGAATGTATTAGAAAAGAAATAATTACTATTGATATTGTTAATGCCATAATTTACTATATATAAGAAAAATATTGGTAGTCAACAGTGATACATAAATGGAAAACACTACCAAACAAAAAGTTAAACAATATCAAAGCTAATACCAATATTATTTTCTCTAATACTTTCTATCAAACATGGAGTAATGATCAATGAAAGGATTGCAATATAATACATTACTATGTTCATTATATTATATATAAATACATGCGATTGGGTATACAAAAGAAATTATTGAAATTAATACAAACGAGTTTCAATTCTATCTTTTTTTATGGTTCAATATGATACTAAATCGACGATGATGGAGAAATTGCGAGATGGTGGCCATGTAGAGAACTTGTTAGTGTGACGCCCTATTGTTATTAGTAAAACTTACATAAATGACTATAGTTTTAGGGTTATTAGATTGAAATAGCTATAAGTATCATATTTAAAAAAAATAGCTACAGTTTGAGTTTAAAAATAGCTAAATTCCATAAATATTTCATTTTTTTTAATACAAAAATACATTCAAAATTAACTCCCACTAAATGAGGTCAGTTAATGTAACTGACAAGGCTATTTTCCAGCCCTTAAACCCACTAATTTGACACTTTAAAAAATGTAGCTGACCTATAAGGTATAGGATTCTGATCAGTTTAAAATTGAAAATATGTTCCTTCGTTCCTTTTCATTTCACGCCAAAAGCAAAAAAACAATTCCATGGCTACTATCATAGTTTTGATTCGGCATTTCGGAAAATGGAGCGAAGAGAATTGCTATGTAGAATATAGCATTGACGGGATAGTGTTGAAGGAATATGCTTCGTATTCTGATTTAGTTGATTTGATTTCGATACAATTGAACGTCGATCTTACAAAAAAGTGTATGAAAATCAAATACACTGTCGAAGGTAACGACACACCTATGGAAATACGTAACGACATGGGTGTGCGCGTATATGTTCAGTTGAAAAAGATCAACACTCAATTTGGAGTATATCCCTTATGTGTAAGTATTTTCGATATTGATATAGTATATTCTGATTCTGGAGAAACTTCTATTGAAGGTGATGTGTTGCAACTTGAATACAATCAAGAATTAATTAGTACGAATGATACATTACCAATTGTCCCAACGTTTGGCGATCAACCAGTAGATGCATTTGATGGTGGAAATGATTTAATAATTACGAACAGATCGCAAAAGGAGATAATGATTGATAAGATATACATGGATAAGTCGACATTGAAGGATGTGATGGAAAAGTATTCAATCGAAAAAAGGTTTAAATTCTTGGTGGAGAGGTCAAACTCTATAAGGTAAATTGTTGTTAAATTTGTTTCATTTTAGGTGTATTGAGTTATGTTTGCAGATGCAAAGCAGAACTAACAAAACAATATAAATTGAATTCGCAACTATACTCTTGTATGTCAATCTAAAGAATGCCCATGGCTGATGAAAGCGTCAAGTATTAACAAGTCGAAGATGTTCAGAATTAGAGTTTTTAACTCTGAACATACATGTCCTTTAAAGGATGGGGTGCATTCAGATTGTCGTGCAACAAGTGGATTGATTGGAGGAATAATCGCACCTAGATTGAGAAATCACAAGAGGAAGTACACTCCAAATGATATCAGGGATGACGTTAGATTGGACTTGGGTATTGATATTAACTACATGTTGGCATGGCGAGCAAAAAAGAAGGCATTAGAATCGATAATGGGGCAACCAATTGCGTCTTATGGGAAGCTACCTGGATACTTGTATACCTTGGATAAGACATACCCTGGTTCACATATTCGAATGAAGAAAATACCTGAGAACGAATTTTTGTATGTGTTTATAGCGTTGCATGCTTTTATAAAGGGATTTGATCATTGTAGGCCGATTGTTGTTGTAGACGCTAGCCACCTTAAATCAACATATACTGGAGCATTCGTATCAGCCAACACTTTGGATGGAGCAGGTATTTTAGATACATAAATACATTATAATTTTATTTATTTGTTATTCACCCTTTTTTTACATTATAATAGGGAATATATTACCTTTGGCATACGAAGTTATTGATTCAGAAAATGATGCTTCTTGGACATGGTTCTTTGAACAATTCAAAGAAGCTTATGGTGAAAGAGAGAATATGTGTATGGTATCTGACCGACATAATAGCATAATAAAGGCTGTATCTATTGTATACAACAATATCCAACATTACGCCTGCATATGGCACTTGTGGGCTAATGTATGCAAGAATTTTCGAAAAGCAAATGAGCAATTAAGTGAAGTATTCTACACTATGGCAAAAGCGTATACTCAAACTGATTTTGATAAGCTAATGAAAAAAGTTGAGCAGTTTGATGTAAGGGCGAAGAACTACTTGGAGTTGGTTGGATATGAGAAGTGGGCAAGGTTGTATGCACCAGTTCCTCGTGGTTGGGTGATGACGTCGAATATTGTAGAGTGCATCAATTCAACATTGGTAGCAGCAAGAGAATTACCAATATTTGACTTTCTTGAACAAGTGCGCTTGATGTTTGCTAGATGGAATTGCACAAATCGAAAAAATGCATCATGTACTTTCACACTACTTGGGAAGAAGTTGTCACACCCCTTTTGCGCGCCAGGCTGGAGGAAGGGTTTTTCCGATTTTAAGTGACGTTATTGATTAAGGGATTATTTTATTATTTCAGAGTCGCCACTTGGAATTGAGTTATGGTGTTCCAAGTCACCTTTTCAAATCCCTAATCAATAGGAAATGACTCTTTTAGTTTTGGTTTGCGAACCAGAAATTCGGGTAAGGAATTCTATTGACCGAGGGGAAGGTATTAGGCACCCCTCGAGTCTCGTGGTTCTAGCACGATCACTTTTATTGACTTATACTTATTTTTTACTATTTTTGGATATATTATGTCTACAGGCCATGGTTTGCTTATTTATTTATTTTTTTATTTTTTTTTTATTAGTCTTAAACCGGATGCATAACTGCATTTTCGATCTTGACATTTAGAGACATAACTGTCTTCTCCTCTCGAGTTCATCACACCTAATAATCTCAATTTACACCTCTTGGTTTGAATTAACAAAATTAATTATTGAAATAATTTGATCAAGGCGCGTAACCGCATCCTTGAATTTGACCAAGGTGCGTAACCGCATCCTTGAGTTTCTTAAGTATCTCAAAAAGATGTGGAACCACATTCTTAATCGAGACTTATTATTATTATTATTATTATTACTACCATTATTATTATTATTATTATTACTACCATTATTATTATTATTATTCTCATCTTTAAATATTTCCATAAAGATGTGGAATCACATTTTTTATTGGAATCCACTTTACTATGTGTCTTAACTCGTTTGTAGTTCGACACATCTTAGAGCTTGACTAAAAATTTTTAACAAAGCTATACGATCTTTAACAAAAATAAATAAATAAATCTAAAGTTTTACAACAAATATATCCTTTATCATGTGTAATCCAATTCTTCTTTATTGTTTATATTTATTGAACAAGTGATGATAAAAATAATAAACAAACGCACACCTATCATGTTAAAGATACCATATACATATTAAGAAAAATGAATAAAATTGACAAACAACTTGCATTATAATATGAAGACAACATTTAGATGTACTATTCGTTATAACACTAAAACAAATTTATTCTTACGATATTAATAACCTAGAAGCCTCAACTCTATGCTCAAATACATAAGTGTTCAAATACACTAAATATACAAATCATGATAAGATCCTCACATAAACGTTTGTACTCGTACAACGTATAATAGATCCTAAGATATACCTATTATTATGTTAAAATAGTCTAAAAGTAAATGGCAACGTTAAATTGTTAAAGTAACCTAAAAACCTTTTCTATATTTCACTTATCACCTTCCCCCCACAAAATATTACATTTAATTAATTAAATCTCATCTTATTAACATAATAATATTTCCAGTCGTTTAACAAAATGGAGCATTGTTATTCGAGATATGTTTTTTACTATTCTAATTATAAATAATAATTTTTAATGAATGATAGAAAAATAATTAACAAATTAAGGTCACGCTTTAATTAATTATTAATAATACGTGTTGATATATCTTAATAACAAAAGAAAATATCTTAAAATAACACTTTTTATTTCTGTAAGTTAGTAAACTCAAATCTAATACCCTAATTAATGAACCCATAAAGTTGCTTTTAGAGAAAAATAAAAGTAAAAAAAAAACATCATTAGTATTTATGCTAAATTTAAACTAGCATTAGATCTATGACCTATAGAATACCAAGATTCTAAAACACTTTAAATGATAAGATTAAATTGCATAAAAAATGTATTTTTTGGCTAACAAACAATGATTTACTTAGTCCGTTTTTTAAATTATGCTATCAACGAATAACTCAAAACTATGTGAATTGATCAAATTAATTAACGACAATCCACGAGTCAGATTTCGGCTTGATAAAATAGAGCGAATAAAGAAAAATATTGAATCCTTAGTGAGCAAGAAGCAATTATACGTTATATCATATTTTAATCCAAATGCAACACTACAAATATTTACATGTATTTCAATATTATAATGGCAAAGCTAAACACACATGAAATTTGAATAAATTCAGGACACCGGAATTAAGTACTATATAATCATGAAAATCAAATTATAAAATAAATGTTAAATAGTACCTCTTGCGAAAATCAACTCACGAAAGAAAAGCAATTCTAACAGGGAACCACGAACTCGAAACCACGAAAGCAAACCTTAAACTCAACCTTTGTTTGTGAGTAAATTAAAATGTATTATAAGAGGACAAATATGTATGTTGTCTGCGCGTGCAGGTTTTTTTTTTTTTCCTTTTCTTTGGTTTTGTGCGTCTCTCTCTGTGTGTGTATGCCCCTTTTGCTGTACGTATGTGTCAACTATATATAGAATAAGTTTTTTGGCAGATTGTAGTAGTAGTTTAGTGGGTATAGGAGTGGATAGTGGTTTGTTTAGTTGAGGAGAACGTGAGGGAGTGGGAGTGTGTGTGTGTGTGGGGGGGTGTATGGTATTGTTGTTGTTTATTTATTTATTTATTTTAAAAGCATCCAAACTGTTTTTGCTTTATCTTTTTCGTGTAGTATGTTTTTGGGTAGGTATAGGAGTGGGGTAGGTTTGTTAGATTAATTAGGTTATTTTTTACTTTAGTTTTAGTTTTATTTTACTCTTAAAATAATAAATTATAATAACATATCAACTAATTATTTAAAATTAATAAAATCTAAGAAAAAGTCAACTAGCTATATATATAAGATCAATTAAATAATACTAGCTTATTTATAAAAACTTAATTTCAAAAATAATATTATTATTTTTTTTGTAATCTTTCATTTCTTTTTAAACAATTGAAAATAAAACTTACCCTAAAAAAAGGATTATATTTTTGTTGTTTTCAAATCTTTTAAAACAACTTAACAAAAATAAGAGAAAAGTCAAAATATTTAATTTATATTTATAAAAATATTTCAGCTCTAAAAATGGTGCAAAATTTTAAGTTCGGTCAAAAATACGTGTCTACAGAAGTTTCAAGAAATGTTTGTGCTTAATGAATCAAAATCTGGGCATATGACGGTATGTATGTTGAAGAAAGGTTAATAATTTATGAGAAAAATAATATTTGTCATATTCAGTTGATTATGTATTCATTTATTTAAGTATTTAAAGTGTATTTGCTTTCATATGAAGTGTATAAATGAAATTACGTATTGATTCTAGGTTGTGCCGTCAACTGATTACATTTATTCAGTAAGTGATGAAGGGAAGAGTTATATTGTATGATTGGAAAAGAAGACTTGCAGTTGCAACAGGTTTCAAGTTGACGGAATACCGTGCGCACATGCGTGGAGGGTGTTGAACAAAAAACACATGCTTCCAGATGAATATTGTTCAAACTTTTACAAGCCAGAAACAATATTGAGAACATATGAAGTGCCTGTGTATCCTCTACCTGACAAAAGTGAATGGAATATACCTGAACACATTGATACCGAAGTTGTGTTGCCACCAAAATACAAGCAACCTCCAGGAAGGCCAAAGAAGCAACGGGATAAGTCATTTAGCGAGTTTAGCAAAAGGAAGGGTACCAATTCTTGTAGAACATGTGGACACCGTAGTCATAATAGGCGTTCATGTCGAACTGCAACACGGAATGCATAGGAACTGATACATCCCACAATTGAAGTGTTCTTTTACTTAATTTTTGTTTTGTCGAATAAATGACTTATTTGCCTTTTGAAATATTTGTTTCTTTATTTGCTTGCTTAAATTATAAATTAACTTGAATATTATCTCAATATTAAACATGATACAAAATTCTCAATCGATAAATATCCAACTATCAAGTTGATACTATTAACATTTATTGATACACACAAACTACTGGTAATAATACTTGAGAATATGTTGGTGAATACACATAAAACATTTACTGAACGTTTATCACTTTTAAGAATGCAAGTATCCAAATGTCCTTAAGTAAGAATTGAAAATAAATGAATATAGTAATACTTGTGTATATGTTGATATGAAAAGACTCTAGTATACATTTATACTATTGAATATGTTGATAAAAAAAAAAAACACACAAACTGAACAACAGTATATATCCAAATGTATGTGTTCAGACAGACTGGACATTTATACGAACATACATCGATCTCTTCCTACCATTACATTGAATGCAATAACCCAAACAAAAACAGTAAATCAACATGATCATATATAAATAGAAGAGTTGATAATGTTTGACAAAAAACTAAAATATTAGTTTTAACCATAAGTATAAAATAGAAGTTCAAAAAGATAACTAGTACAAGATACTAATCAATCCTAACAAGTTGACTATTATCGATTCTTGCAGGTGGCCTCATCATTCTAGGTGGTGCCTCATTCTCGCTAACAGCCCATTCTTCCATCTTCTTCGCTGCATATTGCCACAATAGTGCGCCGTATCTGATGCGGTGTAACTTAGAATCAAGGTATTTAACTGGAATACCTTCACCCTCACTTAGGTACTCGGCAAATGCTAGCAAATATATCCCACAATCCCTGAAAGATACACTTATTAAATAGGATATTGTTTATTTAAAAAGTAAATTAAGAGACTATTTTTTTATACTTACAAGTCACCTGATCCCTGTTGAGGTATTTCCTCCACATACGTCACATCGTATGCAATGTCTTGATTTTGTGTATAATCTGAATTATTGGCAATCTCCATTGACACATACATTGGCAGAAGCTGAGCAAGCTTTTGAATTTCATCCCTAACATAAGAGTTATGACCTGCTGCTCTGTATGAGTCATATACATAAATGCATCGTTCAACTATTGACAAAACAGCCAACACCCACTGATTTTTCTGCTCCACATTCACTGATATGAACACATTATCGATTGTATTCCATGGAATGGCAGCCATCAACCTATACCTATTTATGTAATCACGTATGTCGCTTTCAACATTTGCAACACATATTTCGCTTCCAATTTTAGCATATGTGGCATAAATTTCATCAATTTTTGACTTGAACAGACAGTCAACAGTAGTGTATCTGTAGCGACTATTGATGTTGTACTTACTTTTTTTACGCAAATAATATAGAACCACATCAATATGTTGTCAAAAAAAATAATCAATAAATATATGTGCATATCTTATAAACAGAAAAGGCTCCTTTTACGTATATATTCATGTTTTTACCTCATCATTCAGAAGTTGTTTATCATAAGACAGAGAGTAGAACCAATTCTTGTTTGATATGAGATGAATACCCAAATCCATATCAACCGCCAATTCTGCTTTTTTATTCTTATACCGATCTTCATCATGCATCCTTTAGATAACAAATAGAATTAAAATTTAAGTATATTATGTGTACAGATGACAATCATATGAAATAAAAATACTTACTTATTCATATGCCTAACAAGGAGCCCTTCACGAAGCCACATTGCATAATCATCAAAAAGATCATAATTATATGGCCCTCGTATGAAGTTAGAAACAAAAGGATGTTTCTTTTCATAAATTTTTACCACATTGGAAGAGCTACCTGAAAGTAGTTTATGTATATAGACCCACAAATTGTAACAAACATATTCTCGACTTATTTCCTCATCAATTTTGCATGAAAAATCATGTATGTTAAAAAAATAGAAGGGGGGGGGGGAGGTAAGACATACAGGAGGAGAAACATTATTAATTACCAGATAATGATCCAAAATTTGTCGAGTATGAAGAAGAATTCAATCGATCGGGACGTCTTGTCCTTTGAACTGGCACGGGTGTAGTATCATAAACAACACCCTCTGGATGAACCACAACACACTTTTTGGGATTGATTGTGTCAAGGCTAGGTAACAAAACATCAAGCAACTCAAATTGTGACTGTGATTGTTGGATTCCATCGTTCTGTAAGGCATTAATGTCTCCTGTCTGAAATGAAATGGCAAAAATAACATATACTATTCAGAATGTCGTGCATAAATAATTTATATGAGTAGAACAATTAATATTACACTAATTAATACTTACAGTAGAGATACTATCCTACCATCAGAATTCTACCAAAGTTACATACATATTTATAGTATTATAATGTATTATATTACCAGTAAGTATACTTACAAAGTATCATATGTATTGTTGGTATTGGAATGTATTCTATTATTAGTAAATATCCTAGTATATAAATATTTCTACAAAAACTAGAAATAAGTAAATACAACTTATAAGTTCATTGAATAAACCATAAGTATTCAATTTATATAAGGTATTTACTTATTTTTGAATAAATAATTGAATACATTTTTTAAACACTCTTATAAATATAATAAAATTTAAACAGTACCTCAAATGATGGCATTCCAACAGGCTGTTTGCCGTTAGACTGTTCATGTACCGACAAAGGGTCTTGTATGTGTATCTGGGCAGGTTGATAATTCTCCTGGACATTATCTCTGACGTGTTCTTCAAGAACGAATCGAAATGTCTGATCCTAACAATATTACAATAATAAATATTTTTTGTTTGAGAAATGTAACAGAATATTACAATAATAAATATTATGTTTGAACCTTTAAATTTTTTGATGATGTATCTATTCTTGAACATTTTTCACCATCCACTTCTAAATTAGAAACACAAGTTAATTCACATAGTACCTCATTTATATCAAAGTGAGGTTTATCCAAGAATGTTGAGATTTGGTTGCCGTCTTTCATTGAATTGTTGTTCGACCAATCAGGTACATGTGTTGGAGATTTACTTCCATCTTCCTGTTTATGTTATACAAAAATAATTGAGTTTTGTAACATTGGTTAACCTGTATATGTGAATGTATTCTCGTAATTTATCATTGTTGTGCTTAACCTGACATGGTGCTCCAGATTGAGGATTGCTTTTGTTGACTGCATCCATGACTTGTTTAAAATTTTCCAGTATAAACAAGCGCAACTCCTTGAACTCATTAGTAACCTGATTATAAAATAAAGTGTAAAAATATATCAGAATACAATGTAAACTAAAAAAAATGGAACAACTTCCTTACAAAATCCTTGAAAGAGGCAAGATCGTGTCTCAGCACACCAATTTTGCCTGCCTTGGTATCTTGAGGTTGTTTCGAACTCATTGGTGGTGTAGTCTTGGCAGAATCATCCGGCTGATTATGCAACTCCTGTACTGGTGCATTATTCTTCACAGGGGTTGAAACAGAACGAAAGGGTGTACTCTTTGCCTTACGGTAACCATGCAATACTGGTGAACTTTTCTCCTTACAACTCGAACCTACATGCATATTGAACTTTTTGATCGATGTGGACAATGAAACAGTTACCTTCTGTTTACCTTTTTCCTTATTGTGTGGCTTATGACTTGGAGGCTTTAAAGTGAAATCATCATCTTCGTCATCATCTTTGTCGCCAACTTTTTGAAAGGTATTCTCGGGGATTGCATCACTTTTTGATGGAAGCTGATAAAATGCAATCTCCTTTAGTGAAGGTTGAATGTTTTTGTATTTTAACTGCGCACAAAATAATTATAATTAACAAATATATTGATAGACAACGATATCTGTACTAATTGAATAATGAAAATATGTTAAATTACCGGATTGCCGTTATCACCGAACATTTCTTCCATAAGGAATTCATAATGTATTCTGCTGTTTCTGGTCCTCCAATTGACCAGTCTGGGAATACGATTGGTCTTTTTTTTAGCAATATTCAGATCAACAGCAGAACAACATTCATATATCCAAACTTGCATGGCAAGAGGCATACCATCAATTCTATAATACTTTTTCTTAGCATCCATTTTTTTTGTTATGCTTTTGACCAATTTGGAGAAAACATTTTTTCCCCAGGGGTATTCATTGTACCGGCCGCTCTCAACTAGATCAAATTGTATCCTTGGAATTGATGAGCTCTTCTTCTCACCGGAATAGATGAACGTACTGATAAAATACACAATTGCGAATTTAATAGCATCGTCATCATTCCCATCACCCCATACCTTGTTTTTATACTTACTGATCAACTCTGCTTTTCTGATAATACTTTTACCCTCAAAGTACTGATTGATTAATCTGTTTGGCTCGCTTGTGTCAAATAAGAAATCGTCTTTATCAGCAAAGCAGTTCAACCCAGTAATGATGGCAAATTCTTGAATACCAAAACGGAGTGTGGTATGATTTATACGAAAGAATAGTTCATCCAGGGAACTGTCCTCCAATTCACATACCATCAAACACCTAAAGATTTGTGGTTGCGCCCAACACACGTGCATTTTGGTATATGCTCCAAAACATATATCTTTAAATTGATTGAATTGGGTCGGTGTAAGCTTCCCCTTCAAATCTGTAACTATGTTATGATTCACATAAACCTGCATGCGCGGGGGTTCGATCGGGCGAGCCAACATATAAAATCTGATACCCTGTAATTAATAAATACTAAAATATGAAACTGCATTTTTTTTTACATTAATAACTTCATAGTAACCTGATTCTATGCATACATACAAGACAACACATTCAAATAGAAGATGCACCGACACAAAATAAATTTGATGCAAATAACAATCTGAAAAGTTTCCACATATTCAGTAAACTACCATTTAACTACAATCATTTTCAAAAAACAGAATGACAACATAACCCCAAATACACTAGAAGGTATTCAATGTGTGAGAGTATGCCACACTAAAGGTATGCCATAGTATAATACATTGGAAGGGATATCCTCCACATAACCTTTCTTGTTCAACTTACTGTACATTAGAATGATATTGCTTACAAGTTACAACATACACGAAAAGCCATTGAATAGCATGCTAGACAACAATCACATGTACAAGTACATTAATATTTTGCGAGTAACTGCATTAATGCGACCTAAAATAATAAACATATTAAGGCAACTACATACATCAACTTAACAAAATAAGGATCTCCTAAACCACATATAAATGACACAATCAAAAATAATCCAAGCTCTATTAAAATGTAACTACTATGTAAAACTATACACCAGAAAAAATCTTATGTGCCAGAACATAATGCAAAATGGTTACACCAATAAACATTGCATGCAATTTGAATACATTACAAGTTGAACACTAACTACAATCCTACATCCAGATTACTTGCAACATCTAATGCTCATATCAAAAGAAGATTACATGTTCAGTTAAAAGAAGTACTTCAGCATTCATATTCATACAGAGCTATAATAACAATATCACCACTAAAGTACTACAAGTGGGGTTTGAGGAGGTTAGTATGTACATAAACATTACCACTAAGCTCAAAAAATTAATATGAGTGAAGAAACCAAGACAAAATACTACAAATGCACCTACTCTAAAATTTTCAGTTCCCGATACTCCAGTTTTAAATTGTATATCCTCCACCTAATCTATTTACATTCAATTTACAGTACACTGCAGGTATATATGTATACATTTATTCTACATCCCAAAAAAATAAAAATAAATATACATACCTCTAGTTCTTCTTCACTCCTTTCTTCTTGTTCTTCATTAACTACATGTTTTCCAATCATGCCCGAAACAACATCTTTGACTTTCCTCCTCTTGTCAATTTTTCTTTCAGCCACTTTCATTGTTGACCCTTCTTTCCTTTTAGAAGAGCCCGACCTTACTAATTCATCATTCAAATCCAATTTTATAGGGATATTAAGAAATTTCGATTTCTTCTCTATCTCCATCGCAGCAATGGAGCCTGAAATTTGTGATTGCATTTGTGTTATACACAAATCAAATGAGGGTATCCCCACCATGCAATTATCAGGATAATATGTACCTCTTGTGATCCTCCTTGGAGTATTTGTTTCCGACATTGCAATGTTGAAAACAATCTTCAACTTCAACACTAGAAATAAACATAAACGTATACATATATAAGACTTTCAAAGAAAAAAATAGAAAAAAATAAGAATTTGAAGAAACCTGTAGGATCTAAACAACAAATAAAACTCCTGAAAACAAGCAAAGTCGTTGATTGCAAGGATCCGAGCGAAGAGGAGATTGATTTTGTGGATACTTTGAAGAGGTGAAGTTGATTTAGGAGTAATGTTTGTGATTTGAGGATAAAGATTTTATTTTGGGATAAGAAATGAAAGCTGCAAAAAGGGGAGTAGGAAAGAGGGAAGCGTGAAAAGAGGGAAAAAAATTTAGGCGTGTGAAATTGTATTTGCTATTTATTCATTAAATATAACCATAAAATATAAATAAAGTTAACTATAGCCATATTATTTTAATATGAGATATAATTTGCTATTTTCTATAGTTTTTCCTTGTTATTATGCTTGTGCATCGACAATATTTTAGGTCATTTACTAAACAGTTATTTCAAAAAGATGATCAATAAAAAAATTTAAGCTAGAAGGATCCTAGGTCAAACAAGGACTTGTCTCCAATTTTTAGTTATTAATTATGAGAAACTTGTTGGCTCAATCAAAGTATCTATCTATATATAATAGGAGAGGTGAAAAGCGTCATGTGTCAACACCATAAAAAATAGACTTTTTAAATAATTAAAATTAATTACATGTAATAGGATTTAATAATAAATTACTATTTTATTTTTAAAATAATTTTAAATTTTAAATATGTAACGTGTGTGTGATTCCTTTTTTTTGTGGAATTTCTTTTTAACCATCTTTCCACAACCTCCTTATAATAATAATCATAATAATAATAATAATAATAATAATAATAATAATAATAATAATAATAATAATAATAATAATAATAATAATAATAATAATAATAATAATAATAATAATAATAATAATAATAATAATAATAATATCTATAATAATAATAATATCTATAATAATAATAATAATAATAATAATAATAATAATAATAATAATAATATCTATAATAATAATATCTATAATAATAATAATAATATCTATAATAATAATATCTATAATAATAATAATAATAATATCTATAATAATAATAATAATATCTATAATAATAATAATAATAATAATAATAATAATAATAATAATAATATCTATAATAATAATAATAATAATAATATCTATAATAATAATATCTATAATAATAATAATAAAAATAATAAAAAAAATAATAATAATAATAATAAAAAAAAATAATAAAAAAAAAAAAATAATAATAATAATAATAATAATAATAATAATATCTATAATAATAATAATAATATCTATAATAATAATAATAATAATAATAATAATATCTATAATAATATCTATAATAATAATAATAATAATAATAATAATAATAATAATATCTATAATAATAATAATAATAATAATATCTATAATAATAATAATAATAATATCTATAATAATATCTATAATAATAATAATAATATTAATAATATCTATAATAATAATAATAATAATAATAATAATAATAATAATAATAATAATAATAATAATAATAATAATAATAATATCTATAATAATAATATCTATAATAATAATAATAATAATAATAATAATAATAATAATAATAATAATAATATCTATAATAATAATATCTATAATAATAATAATAATAATAATAATATCTATAATATTAATATCTATAATAATAATAATAATAATATCTATAATAATAATAATAATATCTATAATAATAATAATAATAATAATAATAATAATAATAATATCTATAATAATAATAATAATAATAATATCTATAATAATAATATCTATAATAATAATAATAATAATATCTATAATATCTATAACAATAATATCTATAATAATAATAATAATATCTATAATAATAATAATAATAATAATAATATCTATAATAATAATAATATCTATAATAATAATATCTATAATAATAATAATAATAATATCTATAATATCTATAAAATAATATCTATAATAATAATAATAATATCTATAATAATAATAATAATAATAATAATAATAATATCTATAATAATAATAATAATAATAATAATAATATCTATAATAATAATAATAATAATAATAATAATAATAATAATAATATCTATGACTATAAAGGTTCCTAATAGTCTAACTGTTGTACGATCCGTTCTCGTTTTGGTATCAGAGCCATGGACTTATAACAACTATAGGTGTTATAGTTCAACACAATTTCTTTTATGAATATCATAAAGAAAAGGTCTACTGTTAAAAACAGTAGAAAGGAAGAATATGATATACCTCAACATCTTGATCTACTTAATAAGTGGACTATTCCAAAAATTTCACCTAGAATTATATATCAAATGGGTACTTTTGAGAAATTAGGTCTCAAACAGGTGGTCAAAACCACAGAAGAAACTATCACTATTGATAGTGACAACCAGACTTTTAGATTATTCTCTGATAATGATATAGCCCCTTATAGGGATATTTATAGATTCATGCATATTGGTTTAGTACAAGTTGCTTTTAAACCTCTTACGCTAAGAGGGTTACCAGAAAGCTTTATAGCAGCTTTGCGAGATGGTAGAAATCATAATTGGAAGAAGTCTCTAATAGGGACAATCCAAACTAGTCTAGCGTATGGACCAGTTTATTTTAATGCTTATCCTAATTTACAAATTTCCTTGCAAGATGAGAATTCATTAAGTTCTCTTATATTAAATGTTAAACTTCATGGTTATGATTATATGCCTGGCACTGAAGTTGTTTGCGTATGTTATAGAATTTATTATAAATTATTGCATACTTTAAATCCTATGTGTAAAGTAATTGATTTTAAAAATGAAACTATTTTAATAGAAACTAACTTTGATAAATCTAAGGTAGTTA